ATAACGTAATTTACGCGAACTCTGGCGGAAAATTTCGCGCGCAACGTCGCATTTCCATTTCTATTGCGCTTAATTTGCGCGGGACCGGGAACGTAAGCCGGTAACAAGTGTCAAAAGTGGAAGTCATCGAGCGGAGCTAACAAATTTCGAGAGGGAAATTCGATGTCGGAGGTGGCGCGTCAAGTTTGCGACATAATGTTGAGTTACGCCGTGTAAATAGGAGCCACCAGCCGAGCTAGATGGATCCCTCGGCTGAACAATGCGTCTTTGTCGAATCGCAAATGGTTGTTCCATGCTGGCAAACATCTGTCGTTCCTTGGGCGTGCGGCAACGATACCGTCTGCGACGTCTGCGTTATTATTACATTTCCACCGAAAACGGAGCTGCCTTTCTTTGGCCTTATCTAGGCATTCGTGTTTGACGCTCGCCTGCGCCTGGCCCTCTAATCCACGCCGCCGTCCATAAGCAGGAAAGACCTGAGGCTGAAAGTTACATGCAGAGGTAAAAAGATACAGTGACAATTTTAGATCAGAGAACATAGTCATCGGAACTTGACGAGGAAACATTTGCGAACCTTTGACTGTCACGCCACGTGTGAAATTTAACGTTAATTGTGACAACGATTATTCAGACTAAATGCCTTGTTATTTCATTTTCATTCTTTAGCCCCATATTATTCAACAAAATTCCTATTCCCGAAGCTACAACGGTGCGATACTTGGGCCTTCACCTAGACAACAAATTAACCTGGAAAAAGCACATTACAAATATAAGAAAACAAGTAAACCTCAAATTCAAAAACATGCACTGGCTTCTTGGATACAAATCAAAACTTTCACTAGAAAACAAAATTTTACTTTACAAAGCTATTATCATACCGATATGGACCTACGGACTAGAACTCTGCCAGCAAAACCAACATAGCCATCATCCAAAGAACACAATCCAAGGCACTTCGCACAATTATTAACGCCCCTTGGTACGTTACCAATGAAACAATTCATAATGATCTTGGTATTCCCTTCGTCATTGACACCATCCATGAAAGAAGTAGGAAGCACTTCACTAAATTAAGCGAACACACAAATCCACTATATATATATATATATATATATATATATATATATATATTTAGTTATGGGGTGTGTTCTTGTAAATAACTGGTGCGTGCGGTGTAACTATTAACTTTATTTATTAAGTTGCGTAGAATCACTTTCGGGTAGCGTGACGTCGTAGCAAGAGAGGTATGAGAAGTATGAGAGGTATGAGAGGTATCAGAGGTATGAGAGCGAGCGTCTCATTACTGCTCTTTTTATATTATCCTGTTTGCCCCCGGCAAGGGCTCTGGACACCCCCTGATTGGTTGACCCGCGAATGGGTTTTCCCAATCAGCGTTGTCCATCTCCTTCTCACCGCGTTGTCCCTTACGCCCTGAGCGCGTCCCGTTTTGGGACCGCGTGGTGATCGGAGTGGGTGCCTTTTTTATGATGTAACGGCCTGGGTTTTCGAAGGAGAGTCATAAATATGTTAGTCGTTTGCGCGAGAAATAAATCTTTTCTTATGCGCGCCGACTGGCCGCTACATATATATAGTGGCATAATTATATATATATATATAATTATGCCACTATAATTAGTGGCATTATAATATAATTATATAATTATAGGCATAATTATATAGTTATTAGTGGCATAATTATATAATTATGCCACTATACATATATATATATAATTATGCCACTCATACAACAACAATACAGCAGGAGATTAAAAAGAAGATGGCCAATCGACCTTAAATGAGGTTCAGGAGGACTTTTCATTGGGAAAGCCCTCACCATGTTATTAACGGACTATACATCAAGTCCCCAGCGATCACATTGGCCCATAGAATTTGTATTCTGATTGCTGATTTCTAATAAAATAAAAAAAAAAAATTCTTTAGTTCAAGTATAAAAGGTATAATTTATGTTAAAGTTAGAGGATGTTTTTGTTTTTAAATCGTATAAAGATTAATTCTAAGGCTATCCAAATACTACATAAATAGCAAATATACGTTATTTGTGATAATTTGAATGTAATGAAAAATTGATAAATACTAATATTCTGATGTTCAGAATAACTTCTGATACTACCAATAACTTCTGATGTTCTATTGAAAACCCACGATCAAATCACGTATAAATATCCCAGGTTTTAATGTTCAAACTTTGTCAGTGTATTCTATGGCACAAAGTAAGAAAAAAATGTTATGTAAACATAGGTCATATAGAGCTTTATTGAGAAGTTATAACAAAAATTCAGAATAGGAATAGTAATCAACTTGCTGTTACTGCGAGCATTGGCTTGAATAGATCAGCACATGCCGTGTGTTTATGTAAGCTGTGTTTATTAATACATTTCAAAATGTCTACCGTTGTTGGCAATACATGATTGACATCGATCGAAGATCGAATTTATGACCGTGCGAATTTCGTTTCTATTCTCTTTCATTTCATTGAACGAATTTTTGTTGTAACTTCTTAATAAAGCTCTATATGACCTATGCTTACATAACATTTTTTTCTTACTTTGTGCCATAGAATATACTGACAAAGTTTGAACATTAAAACCTGGGACACCCTGCATATATATATATATATATCTGAAATTTTAGCATTTGTAGCAGATAAAACAACTAATTAGCTTCAAATGTAATAGCTTCAGTTATTTTATCTGATACAGATGATAAAATTTCAGATTATTCGACAGAGAACATGTAATAAACTGAGATTTTGATAAAAATGTCACGACTAGTCCCAGTCTCCCCTATCGAAACGCTCGCGGAGAGAGAAGAGCTTGGGAATTTTTAGGAAATGGAACTTTCTTGTCGTTTTTCTCCGGAAAAGTGAAAATGTTTGAGTTCCGCGCATCTGCTTGCACAGTATTCCGTAATTTTCACGCGTCTGTGTGCACCGAAAAATTTCTCGTAGATTTCCGGGATAAACAAAATGTGCGAACGCCGGGGATACGCCTGGTTTCTTACATAATAGATAACCCTATGCAGGAGAAACGCGCGGAACGGAAGAGAAAGCTCTCCTGACGCATTTGTCTCGACGTTAACGATGTAATTGCAACATACAATTCCCGGACAATGCTTTTCAGTCGACGCAATTTTCATTGCTGCTTCTGTCGTCAGCTGTTTCTATCTAACGCGTTTTCGTTAACGACATTATCGCGATGTCGCGACGAATTTCTTCAAATGGCCCGGTTTCCCTCGCCTCGCGAGCCCAGAGACCGTAATTTATGCGTTAGCGTCGCGTGTCTGCAACTCTATTTAACATCTTCTAACGCCGGTTTAGTATCTATTGTGCGCATTATCGCTTATTTGCTTATGCAATAAACGTCAAATACCGTTCGGGGATGTACGTCGCGGCCCGCGTTTCAGACGAGGCGACTGAACTATAGGTAGCATCGCGTCTAAAAGCCGCGACGCGCTGGTTGTGTAAGTCCGCACAGTACGGAACGTTCCGCTGTTATCTAATCTCGGAGAATCGCCCCGTGTCTTTGCTTCGTCGGCTGGTATTGCTTGCGAAGAAATATTTACTCGCAAACAAGCCTTGCCTTCCTGATGTATCAGACTCTCGGCCGAATTCGTCGCCGCGCCGCGCCGGTCGTCCGGCCGCTCCGAATTCCTTTCGTATCGCGTTTCACCTACGAGGCATCTTATAATAACAAAGCAGCTGGTTCAATGAAATCTTTCTGTTGCGGCCACCGACTTACTCGCATCGAGTCTCGAAAATTTGTATACAGGCTGTCCCAAAAATGTCTCGCAATCCGAAAGTGGCGGGTTCCTCAGGTCATTTGAAGCAACTTTTTCCTTTACAAAAATGTTCTCCGAGGCACCATTAGCGAGTTATTAACGAAAAACGGTGACCAATGAGAGGCGAGCTCGGCTGGCGCGAAGCGACCGAGCCAATGAGCGGAACTGTGCTTCGTGCGCTGGTTGGCTGGGCCGCCTCGCGTCAGCGGTACTCGATTCTTATTGGTCACTATTTTTCGTTAATAACTCGTTAACGGTGCCTCGGAGAAAATTTTTGTAAAGGAAGAAGTTGCTTCAAATGATCCGAGGAACCCGCCATTTCCGGATTACGAGACATTTTTGGGACAACCTGTATACCCAAGATCTTCGTTTCGTTCATCTCTCAGCTATCAGATCATAGAAATTAAACTCCTCGGATTGCGATAGACTGTTCCAATATTTTAGACAATTTTATTTATAAATATTTCCGTTTTTCGTTTAAAACGACACAATTGTTTCAGTATCGTGTAACACAGTGCCCACCCATTAATCGATTTATAATCAGGCAGTCCTATCGCTCTATTAAACAATCGTTATTTCCTGTGTCTTGGTAATTTCCCGTCAATCGCTACTCTACATACATATATTCTTCTGTTAAGTTGTGTTATATGTCTACGTACCTCGATTTAATGGTATTTATACTTTATATTCTGCTAATGTGGTTCACCTGTGAAAAATAAATAGATGAATAAATAAAAAGTTAGCAGTTGTTGCATAATATAAGCTACGTAGTTAAAAGATTATTCCCACCATAATTTTGATATCTCCAATTGCAAAGTAGCTAGCATATCATTCCGATTTCGTTCTCCCACAAGCATAAATCAATTTGCAACTTATGTCACGAATCTCTTGTCAAAAGTCAGTCTACGCGTCGTAATCCTCAAATTGTTATCGTAAACCGAGAAGTAACGTGATAGCGTAATAAATATAGCTGTGCTCGGTCGTCTTCGTCTTCGAACAACAGAAATAATACAAACGATGCGGTACATAGTCGTGGCGCTTTCTTTCGCTATACGATTCGATGCGCAAAAATGTTTTTGTCCTGATCAGAGTATCGATATATCGGAGAATCGAAGCACAGAGCGAACTATGCCTATTGTATGCCCCCCTCGGAGCCACCTCGGTCATCTTCCAGGAAACTAAAGAACAGTGTTTGCTTGCAGATGACAGTCGGCATGCCGCCGTCGTAGTCGACGCATTCATCCTTCGCGATAGGATCGCCGGAAATGAATAGGATCAAGCTGGAGCAGAAACGATCCGATTAGCGCGATCGCGGACGCAACGGAGGCAACGATCTCGCGGGGACAGACCGAAAAGCTTCGAACAGCGTGCGAGGCGATCCGATGAAAAGTAGCGGGGGGGAGGGGTAGTAATCGAAGAAAAATCGAGCGTAAATGGTTCGAAGGTGTCGGTTAAGCGAGCGTTTACAAGCGAGTAGCTGTTGCATTCGTCGTTAGAGCAGGAGAGCTCGTACGATCGTGAGGGATGCGGCCCACAGCCGAAGGGTGGGGTCTTTGGGCACCGATAAGGCTTATCCGAAGATACGATGGCCGACTGCTCGGCTGTTGTCGTCAGTCGTAGTGCTCAGGTGGCGTCGACGAGATCGCCGGTCGGTTTAACTCACGCTGATACCGCGAGTTCGCGCCTTTTCCACGTTCGAGCGCCACGATCGTCGCAGTCGCCGCAACCGCAGCAATCGCCGCAATCGCAGCAATCGCATCTCGTCGTTGATCGAGTTCGACTGGTCGGCGCGGAATTAACGGCGGTCACGGAGATACAAGAGGATCTCGAGGAAGAGGAGACCGTCTAAGCGACGAGGAACGGAAAACAGGTTCGAACACAGCCGCGGTGAAACGATAAGGAGAGCGTCCGTCGATCGGTATCGAAGCCTCCTTCCCTCGTCGTCTCCGATCTCTTCTCCGCTCCATCGACCTTACCAAGGTGTGGACTTCGCCTTTGGAGCGTCACGAGTCGCGACACACGGCCAGCATTCGTATCCGGATACGAACATACATCGAAGGCGCTGGAACCGTTCGCTTATCTTATCGCGACGATTGTTACCGCGATCGATGCAAAGCAATTAATACGTTGCGCCGCGCGCTCGTGAACAGCGATAACCGAGAGTGTCTAGAAATTTCCAAGAGCTCCGACTCGGAGTCTCATGGTGCACGAGAATTTTGCAATATAGCAGCTGTGTACTGTAGCCAGTGTCGTCGTTGCAAAAGCGATTTCCACACCTCGGCGCGCTCCCTCCAAGCCCGGCTTGTTCTTAAAGCGTCTCGAGATTTTAATTTGACGTTTTAACGCGCGAAGTGGTCAACGGTAAAGGGAAGTCGAGGAGAGGAAGGAGCGAGCACCCAGAAGTCGGTTCGGCAAGGAGCCCGGCCGTTGACAAAACGGAGACCGACGACGGCAGAAGGAGATAGCGAGCGGGAACGGCGCGAAGGACAAAAGTGTTAGAGGGTAATCCGAGAGAGCAAGCCGCTCTTTTCTACGGGCTTGTCCGTGCTCGCGGCCCTTCCGTTCCCCCCTCTCTCACTCTCTCTCTCTCTTTTTCTTTTTGGCTCTCTTGGACTCTCTCCGGTCGCGTTCTTTCAGCCTCTTGCTCCAGGAGCCTGGCAGCTCGCGTGCTAAATTATTCGTAACCCCTTTGACACTTGACAGTGGTGGCAGTACCGGTAATTGTACGTCTATCTTCGCTCTCCAGACTCAAGGTTTGACTTTTTTGCGTCCTCGTCGCCCTCTTCGTCCCTTGAACTTCAATTCTTCGGTCGTTCAGGAAAATTCTTGCAGTCCGCCAACGACTCCGACCCGATTCCCCGCTCTTCCGCTGTTCGAATTTCCTGGCGTTTTCTTTGCACCGCCATTCTACCGCGTTTTATAGTTTACATTCCAGCTGTGAAAAAAGGTTTCGGCTCGGTATATAGAGGAAACGCAAACAGGATATTTAAATGGTGTTTCAGTGCACGTTGCGCGCGTAGTTTTTCCAGGTTAAAGCGGCACTGCGATCTCGCGTTTCGTTTAATTTCGCCGTCTCCTCTCGCAACGGGCATCGCGGAGCTTCTTCGAGAGAACACGGAAATATTGCTAAGCTATTCGAGAATATCGGAACGAAACGTCGCGGATCTAGTCCCGCGTCCCCGTCCTATTTTCACGAGCTTTCGTTTTCGATAAGTAACGAGAATTCGATCGTTTCGGGGCGGAGCGACGGAAACTAATCGGCGAAACTGCACGAAAGAGCCCGAACTACGCTAAGAAAACGGAGATCGACGGGAACGAGGGGAGGGAAACCGGAATAAAGGGCTAGGGAAGAGTTACGCTATTGGAGATCAGCTGATTCGCTTATACGAGACGAGTTTCTAATTAAACTGAAACTTTTAATTGACTCGTTGCGAAGCCGTTTCGCGCGCTCGGGGTGTTCCACGTACGCGCTCAGCTATCTACGATCCTCCGATTTCACTCGCTTACACGGGTGCTCTGTCTTCGTGGACTCGCCTTTCCCAGCTCCTTCCACAGTCGGAGGTCCGAGGAGGATCTTCTTTACGACCACTTCGTCGCCGGCTAATTAGAGATACAGAATTCGATCGCGTTCCGAAACGGAGAGACCGTCCTCCAAAATCCCACGTTTCCCGACGAAATTTTCCCTCCGTATTTCAAAAGCGGCGTCTGAACCGTCGTACACTCTTTGGTAACGTTGGAACGTACAATTTAACTTTATAGCAGAGTTGGGCGAAAAGTACTATACGATCAATGATCAAGGATTATAGACGAACTTGGAATCATGTTCATGATGAGTCTATTAACTCTGGGTACGGCGAAATATTTCGTCGTAGCAGGCAAACGATTCCAATGGGCATGACAACTTTTTTCGTCGTGGAAATTTTTAAAAGTGACGTGTCAAGCTGCTTAAACGTTACGTCGTCCTTACTGATTAAACCTAACGCGACTATATACTAACATTTCGAATTTGGACAGCTTAACCTTTTAGGTACGGCTGAATTCTGCGCGAGGCTATTTCTCTGGACGGCAGAGTCTGATGCTGTATATACAGGGTGTCTCAAAAATGTCTCGCAATCCGAAAGTGGCGGGTTCCTCAGGCCATTTGAAGCAACTTTTTCCTTTACAAAAATTGTCTCCGAGGCACCGTTAACGAGTTATTAATGAAAAACAGTGACCAGTGAGAGGCGAGCTCAGCTGGCGCGAGGCGATCGAGCCAATGAGCGGAACTGGGCTTCGCGCGCTGGTTGGCTGGGACGCCTCGCGTCAGCCGTACTCGATTCTTATTGGTCACTGTTTTTCGTTAATAACTCGTTAACGGTGCCTCGCAGAAAATTGTTGTAAAGGAAGAAGCTGCTTCAAATGATCCAAGGAACCCGCCATTTCCGGATTGCGAGACATTTTTGGGACACCCTGTAGACTATTGTAAATCGAAGTGAAGACAAAAGAAGGGTGAAACAATGCATATGAAGAGACGATTATTTGGTTCAAACGATGAGCGAGTGAGCTACTAGAGCAAGCCACTATAGTGGCGCGTCGTCCAGAGAGATGACATCCGCGAAAGCCACTATAGTGGCGTGTCGTTCTAAAAAATGATATCCGCGGAAGCCACTATAGTGGCGCGTCGTCCAGAGAGATGACATCCGCGAAAGCCACTATAGTGGCGTGTCGTTCTAAAAAATGATATCCGCGGAAGCCACTATAGTGGCGCGTCGTGCCTAAAAGGTTAATTTCAAACGCCGCTATAACGTTCTTTTATATGTAGTATACAATGGGTGGATTAAATGTAATTACGTTTATTGATTTGTTCTAGTAACGATTAATTGATGTATGGTTACGATTACCATCGTTACCGTTTGTGATCAGTCGCAAATGCGATTGCAAAGTAATCGATCACTGCCCAACTCTACTTTATAGAGAGGATGGTTATTTTGAGGGGATTTTGAGCAGATTAGCACAAAATGAAAGTAGACATTCTTGAAAAATACTCCTGTATACGTCGCTTCCGAAATATCGAATGAAGCTTGGCCCGGTTATATAATTATTCGGATTAAATGATCCCTGAGCGAGCCTCTTCGACCGACTTCCAGTCATTTTAGCGTTCCCAATAATGAAACTCGACATTGTCCGACCCACGTAGATCCGAACGACCGCAAATATCGGCCTAGACATCGCGAGTCGCGCTAATCTGTCGAGTGTCCATCGATCGAAGATAACATTTGTGACTTCTGTTTCTGTTTTTGTAGCGATTCAAGGAACTACGATAACTGGGATCCGACAGCATTCCGAGCGTTGATCGTCTCGATAGGAATCGGCCCAGGCGACCGATCGCTAGCAACGAGCGTCCAGTGTCCGTGCGTAGTCGATGTCCTTGGATGAACAAAAGTGCTCGGAAATTGTGCCGAAAAGTCGGGAAATCTCGAGAGTGAATCGTGAAAATCGAAAAGTGTATCATTATAGCCGGAACGTCGGGGAGGAAGAATTGGAAAAGTGCGTTTTCCAGTTCGGTCGATCGGGAGAAGTTGTTCGTACGCGTAAACCGGTCGAGTTTGAGGGTTGACGCCTTCAAACCGGAAACGACGAGTAATCCTGTCTTCCTCAAGGATAAACGAGACCGAGGGAAGGAGGCACCGTGATCCGGTCGCCAAGAGGACTCCCATGAAAATGTTACAATCGCTGACCGCTTTAGCGGGAAAAATCTCGCCTGGCTCGCCGACCGACAGCAACGCGAACAAGGTGCACATGCATAACAATAACAATAACAACAACAACAACGTGGTGCACCACCATCATCCGTACGCGAAGCAGCAGACGCTGCAACCTTCGCCGTCGTCGCACTCCAGCAACAGCGATCAGAAGGAGAACACGTGAGTACTCGGAATTTTTATTTTACCAGCGATTACGCTGTTTATCTTCTTCGTCTCTCTTTAATCCTCCGTTCAGCGCGAATCAACGCCCGATCTCTCGGACTGCTTCTCCGATGGTTTCGTAACCATTTGCACTCGAAGCTATTTTAACTCGGAAACCAAGACGCTTCATTCGACTCATAGTATTTCTATTTTGCATGATTATTTTCATTACGCGGATAAAAAATTCAGGCAAGCTACTCGTGCAACGCTTTCCTACTTAATGATTTAATAAACATAATAATCATAGTAATGGAAAACTATTTACTTGAAAAAACTGAATTTGTAACCAGTTAGTTGTTTTTGACGAGTTATACGAGGATATACACTTCAATGATCTTTATCAAATTGTATATTTTATTATTGTTGTGTTTAAACGAAACACGAAAAAAGTCAAACATATACCGTACAATTACTCTAATTTACACACTTTTTGAAGAGATTGTAACAACGAACTGGTTAACGACATCTCAAAGTCGCCATTTCAGCACGAAGAATTAAATATGATCTCAAGTATTTCAGTAAAGTAATTTCTTTTAGGATCGTTGTTCGAAAGAATATTGAATGGGAAGTCGCTAATAGAGAATCTGATTTATTGCACCGGATAACAGGCTGGTCAGTTTTATGGATCTGCGTGCATCATTGCATGCTCCTTTGCGGTTGAATATTATGCGAACAACTCCAAGACGAGAATAAGAATGTGTCTGTGAAATGAAATGGTTAAATTAATGAAAAATAATTATATTCTCTCGAGGAAATTTCGTTTTAAATTCTTTGTTAAGCATTGGTTTCGCGGAGAATTATCCGAGAGGTGTTAGAATTCCAATGTGAATGGAAATTAAAGCTCGTTTCAGCTACTTATGTTTTATACTCGCTACTTTCTCCCATTATCTTATAACTCGCAGCAGCTACGGAGTAAAGCTTCGCTTAATGGAAAGACTGACCCTCGGGAATATGCGAAACGGTTCTTTCTCTGCTCGTCGGAAGAGACGAGCGAGCGCAGAAACTACCTTGTGGCAATAAAGTAATCGCAACTTTAATAAAGTAATCGCAATCAAGATATCAAATCGGAGTAGCTCGTCCTCCCATCGAAATACTTGAATGTAGCGACACGCTCTCAGAATTCACCGTTGTCTTTGAGACACTTCCCGGGGAACAGCGTTCTTCTCCCTTATCATCTTGATTATTTTCGAAGCACGTATTTATTTGGTAGACAGTCTTGTCTTATTACCAGATTGCGGATCTTTGTGCAAAATAGAAACTATCTTCATAAATTACAACAATCAGGAACAAGGGAGAAATTTCGTTCTTGGTTAAATACTTTTAGCGAATACCAAAATTTACCATAAATGCATACAATTCTCTGTCTACTTACTTATGGTTACTCTGTTCACCATCTTACTATCAAATTTTTTCATTTTCTTATCTTTTCTTTCTTTTTCCACTTTATTGCATATTATTATTTTCACAATTATTTATTACTTGTTCACAGGAAAAAAGTGCTGAATAACTTTTTCTTCTTCTTCTAAAAACAAATCATGTACTTTTTTAGAACTGGACCAATTGACATGATTTTTTTTTAGAAGAAGAAGAAAAAGTTATTCAGCACTGTACTGCGTTTCAAAATGTGTACGCTTAATTTTGCGAGTAACCGTATGTATACAAAGCGAAACTTCAAACTCGATCATCTCGAAAACGGAGCATATTTTTCCATGAGAGATGCAGCAAAGGAGTTTGTAACAAAGGATTGCGCCCGTATATATGAATAAAGTTATAATATTTATTTTACACGAGAACTCTTCGCTCGTTAAAATTCCAAGGATGTTCGCCGAAATTGAAGCGGATGAAAGAAATTTCCTTGGCCAGCGAACGTCAAGCTAAATATTTGAGCTTTTCTCGCAGCGGTGCCCGTATTTTTACAAATTCAGAACTTTATAGATAATACCGAGTAAAACGGAGCCGCGAATAAAAACACGGTATTTATTTTGCCGCCTAAACAGTTTGAAAAATTCTATCGACGATCGACGGTTGATTCTCCGTTCCGGTTATTCGTTGTTTTTATTTGTGCGGATATCGCGTTTCGGACATCGAATTTTTCGGCCATGAAATCATCAATAGCGTTCATTGTAAATATTTACGATTTTGGATCGTCGATTACGCGTCATCCGATGAAACTAAATCGTTAAAATGCCCTCCAAAATGGTTACACCGCACCGGCGAACGATACCGCGAGTCTGGGTGCGCTATTCCACGAATTCCGAAGGTGAAACCTTCCGGGAAGACCGGCGCGCCGCGGAATTCAATATCGTCTAGAAAAAATATGATCGAAAAAGAAGGCGCGACGGGACCTCGGTGTGGTGTGAGAAATTAATTTAGACGTACACCGAAACTCGGATCCTTATGTTCCGTAACGGAAGGCCGTTACGCCTGCAGAATTCTCGGTTCCTGGTTCCTCGGTCCACGCTCGAGGAATTCCGCCCTTCGAATATCGCGTTTTACGTTAGGCGGGTGCATATTTTAGAGAGATCTGCTGGGCGGGGGGTAGATGAAGGAGATTGGGGAGAAAAGGTGAGAACAGAAGGAACGAGGACGTGCGGAGAAAGCTAGAGAACTAAGGAGAAACAGAGGAAGTGGAATCAAGATAGAGAGAGAGAGAAAGAGAGAGAGAGAGAGAGAGAGAGAGAGAGAGAGAGAGAGATCTCTGCCCGGAGAGAAATGTTGCACGGAAGAACCGGAGGGCTGGTCTCTCGGCTAGGTCTCCTCCCGCATCGAGGAATGTCGCCAAGTTATTTTAGGCTTTCGCTCCCTTCCTGCTCCACGGAGACCATCGTACGGGTCGCGTTTACGCGACGTAACGAAATAATGAAGAAGGGCACGACGACGTATCGCGTTCTTTACTGTCTCCGCCGACGGAGGAACGCCCTCTTACGCCCGCAACCCCCCGGCGAACCGGTGAAACAACGCCGACAAAAGGCAACCGTAATTTTTCTCCGAATTTCATCTCGAGCCCATTCCGTTGCACGTTGATTCTTTTCTGAGACAATGCCCAGCCTCCGCCGCAAAGCTTCCCTACAGAGCACTTTCCATGCAATATTTTGTTAACAGTCGCTGTCGGAGTGTTTTCGGAAAAAGAGGGCGAGACCATGCAATTTGTTGTTGTTCGACACTCGGTATCAGGCTTTCCTACTAGGATACACGTGATAATCCAAGGTGATTATTTTTGGATTTCGAAACGTGGAAGAGTGATCCGCATTAATACAGAAATTTCTTCAAAATGCGAATCTTCGAGAATTCGATGTTGGCCACGATAAACGGGTTTCCGGCCCGTTGCTGCGACGTAGAGGAGCTGCGCCAGGTCGGGACCGTTCGGGGAACACGTCGAAAGTCGTCGGGAGCGCGATACTTTCCCATTTGCCGTTGGCGAGGTTAATAAATGTACACTTTCGGCCGGCTAAGCACACGCGTTTACGTTCGATGCAGGAGGGCGAGCACTGTATCAAGTTGCCCCGTAAATTCTCCTTAATAGCTAATACCACGGAAAGCCGCGCAGCCGGCTCATGGAATAATAAGATACTGGCGCGATGAGTAGTTAATTACGGGAAGTGTCGGCGCGATCAGCGAGCAGAGCTCTTCCCTGAGCGGCGCGTGTAAGTTCGCGAAGAGGCGCTTAACGCGTGTAGGGAGTCCGATAGGCGGTACGGTTAAGTGATATGTACGGCTCGAGGGTGGAATACGCTTAACAAAAGGGTCACCGCGGACCCTAAAGGTCCTGCGACCCTTCCCACCCAAGAGGGAGGGAGGGTCTTCTTATCTAGATCCGAATGCTTTACTCGCTTGGGGAACTACATCGAAATTAATTTCTGACTGTCGGCGCGAGTCGAGCTTCTATCTACCCGGCGACGCTGAACAGGCACGTTTGCTACGTCATGAATTACGCAAATATTTGTTACTCGTTCCTACACGAACGACGTCTTACCTGCCGGGCTTATCGCGGTGTCGTGACGGATCTAGATCCGCGGTTGATAAAGCCCCTCACGACGATCGTGCGCCTCTACCTGAACGACTTGCATGTACTATTATTATCAAATTTGTCTACCCACTTTATCAGAGGATTCCCCCCGCACGATAACGAACGCAGTAACCGTGACGCTTTGGAAATGTCGGTGTTTTCCTTATTCAACTGCTACGTGTTCGATAACAGTTTCGATACTCGATGTCAAATTAGCTGTCCGGACTGTATGTTGCTCTCGATAAAAGTTAGAGTTTTGTAACAAAAAAAGTTCCTTGAATTACTCGCATCGCCGACTGAACTGTACGATATTAATCGTGGTAGTATAATTGTGTCGCGAGAAGCTTTAATATCTGGAAAGCGAGCGACAATGTAATTCTGTGATTCCGAGTAATTAATTTTGAAATTTTTCCGATGTGCATATAAATATAACCGAGATATAGAAAATGCAAGTTTTAAATTTTTGTACCGGATTCAAATATGAATGTTAAAAAACGAGGATTTTCTATTTCTTTTTTGTCATCTCAAGTGATAGTAAAATTTAAAAATGTATTTTGCTGTCGTTGTAGAAGTAAATCAGTGCCTGCAATGTTAAAAAAAAAATTCAAACGTTTTAAAAAAAGGTTCCAACACTTTTGTCCCTCGCTGTATTTATCGATGACACGACGACTCTCTCGGTGGAGCGGATAAACCGGGTGATCGATTAGCGTATCATAAGCGAAGCGACTCGCGAGTTAACACGATCCCGAGAAAAATGAAATCCGCGATCGTTGGACAACAGCGTCCGAGCGCCTTTCTTCGGCTCGATCTCGAGCCCGAGCGGAATCCCGCAAGCATTGTTGTCGCTGTCAAAAGCAGATACGGAAAGCTGTTAAAATCCGCGTGAACTTGCAACAGAGCGCGACTCCTGCGGCGCTGGCTCTCTTCGAAAGATTTCGAGAAGCTATTCGCGAGGACGGAGACGTCTCTGGAGAAGAT